TCAGACTGGTTATTGTTCTTTACCTCCATACAAAATGTAACTGGTACACATATAACTTCTGTGAAATATGGGTGAAATCCACGTACCTGTAATTCACAATATAATTCCCGACAGTTTCCAACATGCCCAGTTGTAGTTTACTTTTTATTATGCTAGTGTAGTCAGTTTTGGCATTCGGCTCCGCTTTGGCCTTGTAAAACAGTGGTTAATTGTTTAATGTTAAAAGGTTGCTTGATTAATTTTTAAATGAAACTCGGGTGAAGTCCGTTCATAGTAAGTTTAATAATGCATTGTGTAAAAACAGTAAGATTACTTAATTAACAAAAAAATTCTTCAAGTTGTTCAACTTGCCATGATGCAGTGGAGTTTCATTTTGCTTTCTTGTACGACGTTTTTGCAGTAAAACTTACTTCCGGTCAACAAATCTGAGTTTATTAAATTTTATATTCCTTTTGTCTTTTGTATAAAAAAGACAACATGTGAAGATTGAACATTGATTGAATTCTTTGTTAAAATTTCTTTAAAATAACAGCCTGTGACATAATGTAATGGTTGGAAATAAATTGAGGAAATAATTGAACCCAGCTGATAGAACACAAGGTTAGCCTTTGCAGAGTTATTGAAAGTTAGTGCCTCTTAATGAACTTTGGGGCCCCTGAATGAATCTTTGGAAGAAAATCTAATTAAAAAACTTCTGCACGGTGCTTTCCGGCAATGGTATCCAAAAATACAAGGAAAACAACCAGGAGGGCCGTATGTTTTGATCCCGGCAAGATCTTTCTTGAGGGCAAAAGTTATACCTGTACATGTACACTGTAACTGACAAAATGTGCAGCATGACTCCCCAGAACATCGCTGCCTAGCTTACAGGGCAGCCGGTAGGCACAATCATGGTCGAGCTTAAGACCGCAAAATGACACTAGTTTCTGGTTGGGGGTTGGCTCTGAAACTGGTGCGGCGACGTGGATTTTTTCACTCATTTCTTGGAAATGATGTTCAGGTGCTGAGCATGTATGCCTTGGAGATTGCCATATGTATGCATTGCTAGGCTTACTCGTAAATTCACGCCGGCCTTTTTATTTATATTTGGCCATGTGTTGATCCCTGACGACGCGTAATGAAATCGAGGGGGAATAGTCAGATCCATCAGGTTTGGTAACCAGAATTACATCGTTGCCGCACCCTACTTGAATACGCAGCCAAATGCGCTACGGTGCATATAAAATGTGCGACTGTGCACGTGGAAAACGGCAGATTTAAAGTCAGAATTCATCCTTTTGTACCCTTTTGTCGGAATGACAACATGCACCACTGGATTCCCCTTGCTTCAAACTATATGTTAGCTTCTTTTTGTGTAGTTCTGAGTCAGGTGCCACGCAGACCATTTTCTGAACGGAATTTTGGGGTGCGTCTCATCATTCATGGCCTATTTCTGCATTTCGGGGGTTAGTCATGGCCAAATTAGGCATCAAGGTGACATTGTAAGAAAAATAGAAGATGTTAGTTGGTGTTACTATTGTATAGTTAATCTGTGTTTATAGTTTTTGGCGTGCACCTTTCGTGTTGAGGCGTCAGCTTTTCAAAGTCGACTGAACCTGTCGTGTACACTAGTGATGTACACACACAGTACGTGCGCCGTGTCCTGTGTACTGAACGTGGGCATTGAACATGTGTTCAAGGAACCAGGAAAGAGAAATATTTTTATAAATTTTACTAAAAACCCTTGAAAATGCATCTTTGGGTTTCAATTAACCTGATTTTAAGTTTTGTTTTGCAATTTTAACCCATATTTTGATGCTTTTTGGTTTTTTATGCTAATGCAATTTGCATATTCATGAGCAGAACTAGGCATCATGAATCTCATGTTGCACTGATTTGTGCACAGAAAATTTCTAGATTTTTTATCTACTGCTATGGCAGATTTTATTTTCTTTGGCAATTTATTGCTGTATAAGTATATGGCAATAATCCAGCAAAATCCTTTTCACAGAAATGTTCCCAAATAGCAAATTTGGGGTTCACAATTTGAACATGAAAACATGCAACCTGAACCATGTCTTCCTGGATTTACATCAAAGTAAAAGCGCCCTCACTTGCCCAGAAATGCTTGGTCAATTTTTAATGTGTGAAAAAGTGCACCGTTCAGTTCACGTAACTCAAAAAGAAGTCGAACAGTTTTCATACATGGAAGAGTACAGAGATACAAAAAAAGTAATTCTAAGAAAAATCCATTTCCTGGTTCCTTTAAACAGTAGTAGTAACTTGGTACTAACTTATTGGTATGCACAGTACAACTTTACTTTGTGCTGTATAAGTGGACGCGTTGTGTTAGACTGTTGGGAAGTATTTTCTATCAATTATCAGAGTATTTCTTTTTAGCTGACTTACATGCACCGACATCTATTTGGAAAAGACAATTAGAGTTGTAACAGACTAAGACCAGTTTTTCTCTATTATTTTAGTCACGGCTGGTAGTGAAACGTACACTGTATTCGGTTTGATTCTTATTCAATCAAACTAATCTGTGCTCAACCTGAAATTATTTTGAATTAAATTTACATGTATTTCGTTGACAGAATTATTTCTATATTATTGACTGGGTCATCCTCTTCATCATAAATTGAAATAAATCAGCTCCAATCAACAACCACCAATCTCTTAACTAGTGTGTACTATCAGCCTCAGTACACTTGTTAGGCAGGTTCATATTTGGCGCTGAGGCCAACACGAAATTTCCGATGTCAATCAAATACATGCATTCTCGCTGCAAATTCGCACAATTTGAACACCTTTGAACTCGATCTGCAGCACTTTTTTATTGAAATTAATTAGTTTCATCTCTTGCCTGAAGTACGAGCCGGCTTTGAGAATCAGTCTAAAACGTAGGGCCAGAAACAAGTGCAATTGATGCACGTTCAGTTTAGAAGCGCTTCTAGCAAAGCAAAACAAGAAAACTCGTCATGGTTGTGAACAAGTGTGTCCGCAAGCGTCTGCACTGATCGCCCAGGTAATAATGGGAGGCCTGTGGTGAGTTGCTGGTTAGAGTTGCTGCAGTCTCGTAGGAAGAGGACACGGCATGGGTATGCCCATCACGTATTCATTTACCCTTCGTTGATCATTGGCCAATAAATGTCAGTGAGTCCAAACCGAACAAAACCAAAGTAAATTTTTTTACATAATTTCCCTGCTCATTTGAAAGAGTGCCAAGAACTTTTTTCCAAAACAGGTGCTAAGAACGAGCCTTTTTTACAGACGTGAAATTGAAGGCGACAATAAATACTTGGGCACTCCATCACACAAGGTGACATATGGGTTCGTTCGGGGCGTTCTGAGGTGGGTAACGGTGGTGTCTACATCAGGAGTTTGAACTCTGCTCTTTAGGTCAAGAAAAGTGCCAATTAAATGATCAGATTGCACCTGCTCAGCTTTCACTGGACTAGTCGACCGAAAAGTGCTGACGCTGCTCACGTGACGATTAGCTGTCTGTATAACCAATTATAACCTAAATAGGACTTGAGGCTATTATAACCTGACATGAAGTTATAACCTGACAAGAAGTTACCTTGCATGACCATTAAAAAATAAATACGAAAAATTCAACAAAATGAATACTGTGCACGATATGGGGTCAACAGGTACCCCCCCCGCCACATGTCCAATCCCTATACACACTCTAGACTATTTTTACCTAACACATCCCCCAGAAGTCTGTAAAGAATTCCTGAGATTCCGATCAAACAATAACCAACACAAAGGCGGAGGGGTTCTCTCCGCTCCATATGTTTCATCATAATGACAAAATGGCAACTTGTCTGCATTGGGGAGGGGGCTTGCCTTGGTCGCTGGATACGCCACTGTATAGTAGTTTCAAAACAGATCTAACTTTCCAACTGCCAGATTTTATGCGTGACGTAACATGATGAACAAAGGCATTTCAGGAAGCGTACCATTTTTGTGGAGGAGCTTGCATTTTCGAATCTGGGTAGTTCTATTGACACGTTCATGAAAGAATGCTGAGAGACTTTGAAGGCGCGCGTTTCCGCGCCCATCTGTGTAAACTAAACACTGATCGTCAAAATCACGAGACCAGAAATCATCTATCAACACCCTTTGCCATCTGCGTTATTATTGGCATTACACTTCAGCTTTTGTCTTGCCACATGACTGTATAATTTTGTCAATAGAATTTTTATTTGTGGGTAAAAGTGGCCCGTAGTTTCAGATGCGGACGTGATCGATGCTCAACGTCAAGGCCCACAAGATGCTTTGGTTGGGTTTTTCTGTGTCACAATTTGAAAAGTGTATAACTTTTATGAGCCCTTAGTTGGTACTTAGAGTTTCTAGAAATGTGCCTCGAGAAGGAGTTTTCACTTAAAGTATCGGTGCACGTTTAGTTCCGAACAGCCGTATTCATGCGCATGTTTGGCCAGTGTTGGCCAATAACTTTTTTGTCTGTGTTTAGGTGAACGAACGTCAGTTAAACATTGATATCTGAACTAGATAGGCCAAAGACAAGCTGCTCAGGTACAGGGCTTGAGGGAGGAAGTGCGTGGAATGCGAAGCTCAAAACACAATTTCAGACTAGTAGCTGTTTGTGAAAGTAGTGGTAACACTCATTTTAATGCGTGACAGTTGGAATGTTCCAATCCAACCACCGTAATGGTAATGAATGTTTATATGTTTCATTAAGCTAGCCGTTTTGTATTAGAAGAGACCTTGTGTTTAGAACTGATACTGAAAATAGATAATGAAGTGGCTGAATGAAGGATAGATGCTACAAAAGAACAATCCCTTTATTTTCACAGTAGCTATGTGCCGACTGTTGTGGCGTCGGTGCCAGTCAGCTAGCAAAGGATGCCTGCTCAGAAAGAGTAGCGCCAACTGTACCCCTGTTCATTATGTGTGCAGTAAGGACGCAGCTTAGGTGTGCTAACGCATGATCCACCATTTTGGCCCCAACAATCGCGGCACTGATGCCGCAACTATCTCTCTATAAACAGATCTGCCCACGGGTGGAGCCGTTGCGATGGAGCCACTGCTGGTCGGCCAGGAAAACCCGTTGTGGAAGGATGCAGATGCAGTAGGGACTTTTCGACTGTGTTGAGGGGGACTGGCGTTTTGTAAGAAGACAGAGACGTTGTTTGAAAAAAGCAGAGAATAAAAGGAAGAGCTGAGAAAGAGCCGTCAGGTGAGTACTCAATTCCCCAGAGGTTGACGAAATCCGCCTTGAGCAGAAGCACCCCCACATCAGTTGAAAAAGAGCCATGTTGGTCGGGAGTGCGCTCTTGCTGCGGGTATCGATGCGACCATAGCGTGTGCATTTCATACTCGTTTGTGAACCAGCGAGGTGCAATTCCTACCGAAGGAGCCTGCGTCGCTAGAAAGTTTGGCCCTCTCTTGGTCCAGCTTAGGCCTCATAACCCTTATGCCCCTTGTTGGGACAAGGACTGTGACCAGCAATTTGACCGGCTATGTGTCCCAGAACCCTCCTGAAGTTAAGACCGTCCCCGTACCGGTCGAGTTGGGGACCAGCTGGCAGTCCGAGCCTAGGGTTGCTGTACAAAAAGTGGGAGTCTCAATCCAATCAGATGACTACTGGTTTTGCCGAAGGAAATTAGGAAAGACCTCCAAAGAGAATTACATGGTGGACAACTGAGTGAGCACCTGGTAATGAGTAAGACATTGGCCAAGATGAATAGCTACTCCTTTCCTGGAATGTTCACAGATGCTGAGCAGGCGCGCTTATTGAGAAGGATGTCATAGATTTTCTCGGGCCCCTGCCGAAGACGGACAGTAGAAATCAATGGATTTGGGCAGTAAGAGACTGCCATACAAAGTGGATGGGGGCATATACCCCCTTCCAGATACCACTGCCGAGACATTAGCACTCACTGTGCGAGAGTGCCTACGTCAGTTTGGTGTTCCACGAGAAGCTTCGACCGGGACACCATTTCAAATCTCAAGTTTTCATTGAGATATGTCGGATACTTGGCGTGACAAAAGACCAGATCCACCGCCTGTAATCCCAGATCAGATGGGATGGTGGAAAGATTTCAAGCCCCATTGAAAACAGTGTAAAATCAGCACTCTTCAGGGCCCAATAACATACATACCAACATCCATGGGATTTCTGAAACACAAATTAAATTACTGTCTGGTCCCTAATCTTTCAATTTCTTGTAAAATTTTTGTGGGTTCACCAATTACATTTTTAATTATTCCCACAAAACAAATCACCTTCAACAAGTGATTTTTCCGAAGTCTGATTGCAGCCATTTTTCAAGTGGCAACCCTCAAATTTCTCGGGCACTTAGGATCATTTTCCAACTGTATTATTTGGCGATTTTGTTCTCATATGGAAGTTTAAAGACCCAGGGAGTTGATCCTGACAATGATTCACACAATCTCATCATTTGGGGGGCCAAACAATTTCCATTTTCAAAAGATACTGTGGGGGACTTTTAATGCTAATGAGCTGGCCAGAAATTCTCACTTGAATTAGCATAGACTACACCCCTAGGTATAAATTATATGAAAGGTTGGCACACTCAAACCCACCCGACCCGCCATGAAAAAACTAAAAGAAACAAGTCACATTCATTATCTCTGAGTGCGATTGTAGCTCGAAGTTATAGAGCATGGAGTTGTTTGCAACACACTGAAACAAAACGCGAGAATTGGCAGTTTTCAACTGGCCTCTATCAACAACCCAAATGCCTGCTGAATTACTACATGTACTTACATCGTTCATGTCAGAAATCGTCGCGCACAGGCCCAACAATTCTCGCACTATGTAAGCGTTAGGCCTTAAATGTGCTTCTCTGACTTTCCAATTCCCTCACGTAGCAATCTTGGAATCCCGACGTCATGTGCAGCTGTCGGTTGAATGTGTCAAACACTTTCATATAATAGATAAGCATTAGTAGTAGTCTGCCTTCTTGACTTGTTGACTCTCCCTACATGTGATGATGCACCTGCCACGGCTCAAAATGTATCCCAGACTATAGGCCCTACCTCTTGGATCGCAAACAGGCTCAATGTTGTCCGTGAGTGATCTGAACCCAAAGGTTCAGTGGGGCACTTTAAAGCATGTGGCCCACAAGTTGATAAATCACGGCTTGTAGGCCTGTCATGTACATAAATTATTGGGCACACGAGCCCCCTCTCCGTCTCCACTGTCTGAACCTTTGTGCCTGGATTAAGCATGGCATCAAAACTGACTTTTGGCCCCCTAAGTAGTCAAAACTCAGCCCAAATTCTGTGACTGCAGCCGGTACTTGAACTCGTGCAGCAATAAAATGAACGTTTATGTACCATCCCTGCATAGGGACCATGCGCTGTAGCGATTTACGGATTACAGACCCAGAGACAAGCCTTGGTTGAAAAGATTACAGTTTTTACCGGCAGTCGATTCTAAAGACAATCCCAAAGAATCTTCTTTTCTGCAGCAGTAATGTATTAATGTTTAGCAATCCATTTGCCCTTGTTACATAGTTATGTTTCAGACTATGTCGTTTACCCCATGTGTACCCTGGTTCTATTTCATTTGAGATGACTTCTGCTGGAAGGTAGAATTATGTTTTGCTTCTCTCAACCCTTGCTTATTTGATATCGTATACATACACTTCAAAAATACACCAGAGATTTATATACAGCGTCTATACTACTGTCTGCACATCTTAACTATGCTGAAATACTCAGTCAACATGTTGGAGAAAAAAAGTTTAAGATAATGTTGAGTAAAAGTCGCGCTACTTAAATCTTTGACAAGGTCAGCTGAAGTGATGTGTTTTTCTCTCCTCTGACCTAAACGAGGCCTTTTTTGCCGCGGTAACACTGATGCGGTTGTATTAGCTTGTTATGGGGTCTCATTCACGTGACCACTTGGGCTGTCTTTCCGTTATCCTCCATTTCAGCTTGAGTGTCGTTTTTGAGAGCGATGAAGACAAGCGCCTGCACCAAATGAGTAACATAACACAGAAGACAGGAAAATCTCGCTTAAGGCACTGTTGCGTAATAGTTAAGAAGTTGTCAGATGTGGAAGTCGACGTCAAAGTGAAGTAGAGTGGTGAACTTCGTGCGGTGCATGTAGACAGAAAGTGTAATTCAGCAACCAAATTAGAAGTCGTTACCGTGGAGTGGCACAACGCTCGTGGACAGGTGGTACCTGCGCGTTGCATGCCGCTTTGACCAATGAGCTCCGATCTGGACCAAGAGAGTGCGCAATTTTTCTAGCAACGGAGGCTCCTTTGATCGGAACTGCACCTCGTTTTTTCACAAACAATTATAAAATGCACGCGTTATGGTCGCGTAGCTACCATTAAAATAAACATTCCCCGACCAACATATGCCTCTTTTCAATCGAGAGAGGTGCTTCTGCCATGGAGGTAGAATGGAGCAAAATGATATGATGACAGCGCGTGCGCGTGACGCACTGGCATTGCCTGTGTTAGTATAAATAATTATGCTCTTAAAACGTTCACTGTTTTGTTCTTCGGTACTGCTATCTCTTCTTTTCAACGATGTCACGATGTTGACGATGCTGGGAGGAAAGACCCCTGAAAGTCAGCCATCTCCATATCAACATTTGAGTTCCATCAGATTTTATGACACGACCGCAATAAACAAACTTCACGTTTAGGCTACGTACCGACATTCCTTTCTTTTCTTATTGTTACAACTCGCCGAATATCGTGACTTTTCTCGTGTTGTGAATCTAGAGCTGGATTTTTAAATGGCAGGCCAAACCCACCCAATCCGCCAAAAAAGGGAAAATAAAAGAAACAATTCATGTTCATAATTTTCGAAAGCGATTGTCGAAAAGCATTAAATGTATTACATCGAATTCTAGAGGCATTTGTCTACTAGGACCCAGTGTTACTATATTAAGCTCTTGTTTATAGATTTTATGGAATAGTTTTGAACAAAACAAAACAGGAGAATTGGCAGTTTTCAACTGGCCTCTGTTAACATTCCAAATGCCCGCTGAATTACTACATGTATTTACATCGTTAGAAAGTGTCACGCACAGGCCTAACGATTCTCACACCATGAAAGCATTAGGTACGGTGCTTCTCAGATCTGGCAATCCCCTTCCTTACGTAGCAATGTTGTAATCCCGAGATCATGTGCAGCTGTCGGTTGAATCATGGTTGAATGTGTCAAATCTTTCATATTGGTATAGTTGTCTAGCTGCCTCCTTGACTTGTTGACTCTCCCTTATCCGTCACATGATAATGCAGCTGCCACGGTACCACCTCTCGGATCGCAAATACAAGCTCAAGGTTGCCTGCGACCCCAAAGGCGTTATAACAATAGTGTATGTACTATGTAACCTTAATGTCTGTAGGCCCACAAGCTGATAATCTGCGGCTTATAGGCCTCTTATGCATATAAATTACCGAGGGGGTCAGCCCAAGGGTATGGCTCCCTGCTTGGACGCACGCCCCCCCCCCGTGCGCCACCGCCAGAACCTTGGTGCCTGGATTATGCATGGCATGGCATTCTCCAAGGGTAAGTTGTTGGTCCTCGGTTTTGTTTGCCCCCTGTACTCCTATAAAGATACGAACCATCACTTCTCAATGCTGCAAATGGTTGGTCTCCTAGAAATGGTGCAAGTTAAGACTGCTCATGAAGAGGCTCTCTATCTCAGCTTGTTTGCTTTTGGCGACCAGGGATAGTCCCCATTAAACAAAAGGAGTCATCGAAACTGACTTTAGTGCGAACTCGGCCCAAATTCAACGACTGCAGCTGGTACCAATTAATGAAGCGATGAAATGAATTTTCATGTATCATCCCTAGGGACCAGGCACTGTAACGACTTACTGATTACCGACGGGACAAAGGTTAATAAGATTAAAGTTCATGTTTATCCGGCAGTATAGATTTTAAAAAAATCTCAAAGAATCTTCTTTTCTCCAGCAGTAATTTATTAATGCTGAGCAATCTATTTGCCACTGTTACATTGTTTACTTTTCAGACAATGCCAATTTGTACACTGGTTGTATTCCATCATTGAGATGACGGCATTACATTTCGTATTCCATTTGAGGTTGTATTCCATTTGAGATGACCCAAACTGGAACTTGGAAGATAGAATTATGTTTTGCTTCTCTTAACAATTCCTAATTTGACATCGTATACATTAAAAATACACTGGATATACATTTACAGCGTCTATACTATGTCTGCACATCTTAATTATGCTGATATACTCACTGAACATGTTGAGGGAAAGAAAAAAACAAGTGTAACATAATGTTGAGTAAATGATGTGCTAATTAGGTCTTTAGGTTTGGGTTAGTTGGAGTGCGAAGCGCTCCTCTCTCTCTGACTTAAACGAGACTTTTTTGCGAATTTCAACAAGACCGTGGTGACACTAGTGGGGTTGTATAGCTTGTTACGGGGTCTCATTCACGTGACTCCTGGGGCTGTCTTTCCGTTTCCTTATTTCAGTTTGAGTATTCCAAGTTAATTTTCTGAGAGCGCCGAACCATGAGTAAGCTTGGTTTCCATATCGACGAAAGAAACGCAGACAGCAACGCAATCAAGACGCAAACTGCAACGCAGACAAATGGAAACATGCCAAACAGAAGTGTCGCCAACAACGCAGACAAACTCAAACCAGCCCGCGGACGATCGGCGAAGTTGAGGCAGGTTCAACTTTGCCGACTGTTTGCGTCGAGAAGCCGTGGTGTAACGATGTCCCTCCCGCTCAGTTTCATGAAGATTTGCCCATTTTTACACCATTATGGTCAACTAAATAGCTGGTCATCAGTAAAATGCATGAAACTGGAGTACGGGTTTGGTGTCATGATGAAGTACAGTCAATCGAAATGGCCATTTCCAACAAAAAATCCCCGAGTTTCGGACGCCATTTATTTCAATTTTTGGGCGGAATGACGTCATGCACCGTCTCTTCCGTTCGTGTCTGCGTCTTCACGTCTTGTGGACCGTCTGCGTTAATACAAGCGACCACATGGAAACCAGGCCTGTGGCTTTGCGTCTTTAAGAGAACGAGCTGTAGGATGTGGTATAACATCATCTTGATTTTATCAATAATAAAGGCTCCACACGCGCAGGACAAGTTTTCTTCAGTTTTCCTTACTGATTGATTTACATGTAGGAACCATGCATATAAAAAGATCCTTGAAAGGAAGATTTGCTTGCCAAATACCCTCTCTAATAAATTTTTTGCAGCAATATTATACCCTCAGCTGACACCTCAGGGAGTAATTCCCATAGACCTGTGTACATACTTTGGCCCCCTCGAACTTTCAAACGTTTCAATCTAACCAAACTAAACTTTGTAAACAATGTCATAATTATGACGCTATAAACTATCAAACTATCGGACAAAAATGGGGGGAAATGGGTTTCCTTCTGGTACCAAAAGCGTTATCAGACCGTCAAATATCTTCCTTGTGATGAATGCCTCCCTATAAGATCCGTACGGTATTTACTACAAAGTGTCTAGCAATAGCAAATTGTTAATGCAAAGCAATCAAGCTGTGGGTATTAGTCTGTAACAAACTCTAAGAATTTTCTTTCTCACACATTTCAGCGTCACAAAATTGAATAACAACCACAAGAACATTTGTTACGTCGCAGTTGTCGATTTCTCCGGGTCGGATGGCAGTAGTTCCTACTTCCAGAACTTCTCGTAATCGCTTTTCATCTTCTGGACAAAGTTATTTAGAGCCGTCGGGTGCTGCTGATCGGGCTCCTGACCACGGCAAACCGTTGCGCAGTCCTTCGCCGGATCCTGTGGTGTGGAGTGCATGAGAAAATGCATCACGCACTTTTAATTTCGGAGTCACAGACATACTACAATAGTGTGAAAACCTAACTGTAAAGTTCCATTGTGCAATGCCTACACCCGAGAATTAATGTTGGACGTACCCTAGTGACTAGGGTGTTATAACTAACAATCATAGGGTCTGGGGGGTTGAATCCATCGATGGCATATACGGATATTAGACAAGTCACTCAACCCCCTTTCACCTGTGAGGGTAAAGCAGATTTGAGGTTGGTTTAAAGATCCCGTCACTTTTTTCACTCTGTACAGTTTTTGAGCTGATGAAATCATGCATTTCCTCCGGTATAACTAAAGAGGACAGTTTCGCTGGAAAGTTTTCTCTGCCCGAATGAGAAAGGAACAGGATGATAGCAACTCAGTGAATAGCCAGAGCTTGAAATCTCCCTTCATTGCAACTTTCTGAGTTATTTGGCTTCATTTTAAATTTTTGCCTCAGTTCCCATTTTCAAATTGAGGGAAGTTTCTGTCTTTGAACAAAGCAGAAGGCATCCTAGCCTCATACGATTGAAGGATTTGCACGGTGAAGTGAGTTACAGGTGCCCCGTACGCGCAGTATTCTCCTAGGTTCCGAAAAGAACCGCGAGGGAGGCTCAACGTTCTGGGCGGTATGCCCTGTCTGTAGTCAGGACTCTGTGGGATTTCAACGATGAGTGATGATTATAACCTTACCATAATTGGGACACAATTGTAAAAGGACTTACCAGGTATTCGTCGGCAAATAGTGCAATGGAGTGTGGTATTTCGTTCACATAGTCTTCACAGTACTTTTCGAAGCCTGCAGGACTCCAGAAGTGACAAGCCTCCTTCCTGTTTTTGACTAACAAGTCCTGTGTAAGCAATACATGGGGAGACGTCGATTTTTATAGACCTATTGTGATCGTTACCAAAGCATGCATCATGTGTATTGAACAAATAATGCACAAAATATACCACAGAACTTGGCCAAGCGGCCAACAGGTGGTTGAGAGTGTGAAGAATGAATACAGAGATACGATTGTTTTTTTTCGTGCTCATACCGTGAGCATATCAATGTCAAATGGTGAGGTCGAGACACAGATTTTGTAACTTAAACGTGGGCTTAATTTGAGAAAAACGACGAATGAAACGCAGTCCGGTAATCTGCGAAACTCGCTGGTAATGTACAACTAGGAAGTCTGTTGTCTCGTCAAATGTTTTGTCTTCATGCAGATGATCGTGCACCCTGAAATAACCTTTTGACAACAACGTCATGAAAACAGTACCGTCACGTGCGTATGCCGCACCATGAGTAACGCTGGAACCAGCATGTTCTTTCTCAGTTTCAGTGGTGGTGAGTCATAATTACTTTGTGTCAGTTATTCAAAAGAATCTCTGATCACAAGTTTCTTCTTTGGTAAGCATGAGTTTTTCTCACCAAAAAGTCCCTGTCGGTCGACACATTCCTGACGAAGGTCACAACCATGTCGCACCACATGCAAAGAAACGGGCCGTTCTGAGGGGTGGAGAACACCTCTTGAAGCTGGCGACCTTCAGATTAAATGAGAAAAAACAATGTGATGGCAATCAGAAATAAATGTCACACAAAGGTACTCGGTTAGTGGAATCCTGTCGTACAGGCACCACCTGCGCCTACTTTGGAACAGCAAATGAGCAATACCAACTTAACAATTTGTTCCAAGAACTATATTATTGCTTCGCCATTAAAGTCGTGCCGTAACGGTGAGATTGGCGAAGCTTCAGGGCAGCCAGTGACGTGTTTACGTCTACCATATCCCCAGAACAAATTCCAAGCCGTGTCAGATTTTTCTCAGTGAAAATAATAGTGTTTTCTACATTCAACTCGTGAACAGTAACGAAAAGTGAAATAAATTTCTGGCCTGAGAGGAAGATGTCCAGGAGTGCACTCATTTTTTTAAAGGAGCAATGAAATTAATAACTGTGGCTTGTGTGTACGTTGCTTCCATTTCAACATCATTGAC